TTTGAACTGAAAAATTAATAAAAAAGAAAAATAAATTAAATTGGATTAAATAAATTGATTTTTATAACTAAAAAAAATATTACAAGTTTATTTACAAAAATTATTTACAAAAATTTTAGCCAAATACCTTCTATACCTGAGGTATTTGGCTATGAGGAAGAAAATTTATAAATTACAAATTGCGAATTACTCGAAATCTGAAAAAACCTGTTGTCGTTGCAGCGACCAGTTTTTTTCACGGAATATGAGTGTTGAGATTGCTGTTTCCATTCCGAAATTACAAATCGATTGATTGATTGATTGATTTAAAATACTTTTTTCTTTGTACGTGCGATCAACATTAATAATTTTTAAAACATTTTGACATTTTTTTTTCTCCCGAAAAAGATGTTAACCTTTAAGTGATTTTTTTTAAAAAAGCTCAAAATTTTAATTTTAAACAAAAGGGCACTTGTGTTGACTTGAATTTTTTTTTATCATTTATAACCTAATCCGAGTAGTTCTTGATGTTTGTTTGTTTGACATTTTTGGTGATAAATGTCATTGATGATCTTTTATTTTCATTTTTTTTTCATTTTTCAGGTATAAATTTAGTGTCAATCATTTTCAATATTTGATTAACAGATTAACAACGTTTGAATAAAAAGATTGACTGAAAAAAAAACCCAAAACCCAAACAAAATCAGCCAAACAAAAAAAAATAAAAAATGTCTTCGATTCGACTATTTTCATCCATATTGTTAATTATAACAATAATTATGATCAATAATTATTATGTTGCATTTGGTCAAGATATTGTACCAAATAAAATGCTTGCACAAAATTATCAAAATCGTATGAATGGTAATATGGATGGTTCGTTGCGAGTACCGGCAGCACCAGCACCAGTAGCAGCACCAGCAGCAGCACCGGCACCTGCCCCAGCACAAGCACCATATTATAGTGGATTTGGTTTACCGCAACAACATGATTTATATAAACGAGAAATTACTAATGATGATGATGATGATGTTAATGACGACGACGACAACGACGACAACGACGACGATGATGATAATGATGATGATGATGATGACGACGACGACGACAACAACAACAACAACAACCACAGCGATGATGAAATCGACGACGACGAAGAAGAAGAGGACCATAGTAAGGATCATAAGCATAAACATCATCATCATCATCATCATCACCATCATCATTATCTTGTACCGCAGCCAAAATCACAATAATAAATGGGCCATTTTGATGATAATAGATTTTTTCTTTGTTAAATTCATTTTCAAATAAATTTCCATTATAAATTTTACTGATTGATGTTTGATTTTTTTTTAATTATAAAATTTGAATTCATTTTTTCTTCCGGTAAAAAGAATTCATTCGATTCGACTATTTTCATCCAAATGATAAGAATGTAAATTGATATTTTCTTGTATCCGATTGACATTAATAATTTTTCATTTTGACATTTTTTCTTTCCGTTAAAAAGGGTTAAGTGTTTGAACCTAAAATACAAAAAAAAATTAAAAATTTTGACATTCAAAATTTTATTAATTACCCGGTGTTCTCGTTTGCTTGTTTGACATTTTATATTTCGATGATGATCGGTAAATGTCATTGGTGATCTTTCCATTGATCTTTTTGTCCTAGAGTATAAATAAGTGTCGGTAATTTTCAGTTTTGATTATCATTTTCTTTAAAGATTAACGACAACAGCAACGACAGCGACTACAATATCAAAATATGTCTTCAATTCGATTATTTTCAACCATAATGTTGATCATTACGATTGTAATGATGATCAATATTGATGTTTCATTTGGTAAAAAAACAAATGTAACAACAACAACACCATCAGTTTCGTATTACAATCAAACAACACAACCACCACCGTATCATGGAAATTCCACAAATAATAATCAACATCAAATAAATAAACGACAAGCTGGCAAAGAAAGTCGTATACCAGATATAAAACCACTTATTCATAATATAACTGAACAAGTAAATGAAATGATAAAGGGTAAACATTCAAATAAAAACCACACAAATATTCAATAAAATGAATGAATGAATGAATTATGAAAAATAAATGTTTTGAATGTAAAATCTAATGATATTAAAAATTAAAATATTAAAATTAAAATTTCAATCAATTTATTTGACTATTTTCATCCAAACCTATCTATCGATGATGATCAATAGATCCGTGTTGAGAATGGTTTGCCGCATCGATAAGTTTATCGCAAACGCTATAGTTGTTCGTTATCGTCGCTGGCGATTTTTTTGTGTCGTTTGCCATTCAACTGATGGATTGCATTGAATGATTAACATTTTGACATTCATCAAACTCTACCTGTTGCTGGTTTGTTGTTGACATTTGTTTTGGCTTGACATTGATGACATTTTCTTCATTTTCTTCAATTTTTTGGATTTTCGTTTCTATTAAAAACAAATAAATACGGATGATTTACTTGATCATTTCATTTTCAATTTCAATTTTGAGCAACAAAAAATTTGTAACGTTTTTTCGCCAAAAAAAAAAAAAAAATTGTCAACAACAAGAAATCACCGAGAGAAAAAAAAATGTATTCGATTCGACTATTTTCATCCATATTGTTCATCATTGTTATGATGATGAACAATATAAACAAATCATTTGGTATGAATCAATATGATTCGAATTCACCATTGGAAATAGTATATTATCGAAATATATTAACATTTACAATCGATTTGATCAATACAGAATCAAAAGATTTTATACAAGAATCATTGAATCAACGACCAATTTATGAATGGAATTGTAATCATTTTCTTGCACAATCAACAATTTTAATAAGAAAATTTCATGAAAAAAATTGTATGAATATTGTTAACAACAACAACAACAAAACTCAATATCTTTCCAATGCAATCGACAATGATATTGATGATGTTTTCGATAAAATGAATTATGAATTTGATTTTTTTTTGGACAATGGTGATGATGATGTTGATGATAATAATGGCGAAGAACATAATGAACATTCGGCTGATCGAACAGTTATCGACCTTCATCATCCCTCCCAATACAACAAACATCAAGCCAATAATGATGATTATGTTAATAGTATTGATTGTGGAAAATTATCAAATAATTTAAATTATTTTCTACATTATGGAACAAATCAATGTATGAATGAAAATGTTGGTAATAATTTACCATTAAAATGTATTGATTTACAAGAATATTATGAAGAAATTTCCGATCAATTCAAACAAAATCAATGTCATTATCAACAATCTGGAAAAATAAAATCATCGACATCAATTTGTTCGGAAATTAAATATCTTGGTGAATTGATACGTTTTGTTTATTTTTATAATTGTATTCAGCTACAACAATATCGACAACAACAACATCATCAACAACAAAAACAACAACAACAATTACAAAGTATTGAACGTCATAAACGATATTTGTCAAATGATTTCGATTCTAAAAGAAGAAGAAAAGCTACAAATAATAATCAGAATAATAATAATCAGAATAATAATGATAAATCATTTTATGATTGGCATTCATTTACATGTGATTTTCTAACTGAAAGATCATTATTATTATCAAATGATTATAAACAATCCAATTGTCCAAAATCAATTGCCGATAAACAAACAACAAGAAAATGTTTAAAAATTCGTCGTGAATTATATTTAATATTACATTTTGCAACGGATAAATGTATTGATGCACAATTATATGATTATCAATTTGATGTTCGTTGTCAAAGATTATCAAAACATATTGAAAAATTTCAAAATGAAATGAAAAAATTTTCTTGTCCAAACGATAATAATAATAATAATCAATTTTCAACATTACCTGGACCATATGTTATTAATTCATATGTTAGTTATTCATATGTTATTAATTCATATGTTAGTATTTGTCCTGAATTAAGATTTTTAAAAAATTTAGTACAATATAAACATTATCATGATTGTATTCAAAAATGGAAAATTGATCGATTGTTTTGATTATTGATTGAGCGATCGATCGATCAATCTGTCAATCAATTTTGTACCATCCAAGTAATTATTGAACATTAATTCTTTTTAAGAAATTTCAAAAATAAAAATCAATAAAATTCAAACCAAAAAAAAAAAATTCGAATTCTTTTAAGAGCGGAGGGAGGGTGTGAAATCTTGTTGTAGCGAATCGCAATTTTCGAATGTTTTTTTTTGCTGAAAACATTTTGACATTCAATTTTTACCTGTTGACATTTTACCTGTTTGATGACATTTTCTTTTATTTTTGTTTTTGTGGTACAAATGAATTCTCTAAAAATGATTTTTAGTTTAGTTTGATTGATCATTTTAATTTGATTATGTGACATTGCAACGCTGATAAAGAAGATTTTTGTCAAAATATGAATTTGATTCGACTATTTTCATCCATCTTGATGATCATCATTATAATGATTATGATGATGATCAGTGTAAACAATTACGTATTGGGTCAAAATAGTACAGAACAATATGATTCGATTAATGAAACAATAACAACAACAACAACAGCAACAATTCTTAAAAAGAATTCAAATCAAAATCATCTACATCGACGACCATCAATAAAGAATTTAATAAAGAAAAAAAAATCAGAAAAAACAGCAAAAAAATTACCTGAAACAACAACATCATCGATGATGATGATGACAACAACAACAGAATCGATGATGATGATGACAACAACAGAATCGATGCTTGAATCAAAAAATGGTGGACATTGTAATTATATTATTGAACAATTAATACGATCAAATGAAGAATATCGTCAAGATAATTGTACGGATATAAATTTTTGTTATCAATTACAAAATAGTTTAAATTATTTTACAGAAAAATGTATGAATGAAAAAATTGATACAATGTCCAATGTTACTTGTGATAGTTTGAATTCATCTTTGGAAAATATTTCCAATTATGAAAAAATTCAATCAAATTCATGTCCATCAATGAATAATGATGATAATGATATTTGTCCAGAACTTGAATATTCAACCGAATTAATACATTTTATTCATTATCATAAATGTGATCCAGAAAGAGAACAACTTGAACAAGAACTCGAACAAAAACAAGATCGAGATCAAGATCAAGATCAAGAACAAGAACAAGATCAAGATCAAAATCAAGACCAAGACAAAGATCAAGACCAAAATCAAGAGCAAGACCAAGACCAAGACCAAGATCAAGATCAAAAACTCGAACACAAACATGAACCAGATCCACTATTAGAAAAAATATTAAAATCATCCGATATTGATATACATAATAAAGATATAAGGATAAAAAATGTATCCGAATCATGTATTTCATTTGCTGATGATTTATTAAAATTATTTATAAATTATTTATTAAAAAATTGTTTAACAGAACAATCATCAAAAACATTTGTATGTAATAGATTACGTAGAAGATTATGTGGAAATTTACATTTTGTAACAAATAATTGTTCAGATTTAGAAATACATATTGCCAATTTACCAAGAAAATTTAAAAGAATTTTAACAGAAAAACGACATTTTATTGTTTGTTCAAAATTTGGTTATTAACCCTTATTCGTAAAAAAAACACGACAAAACCGATAAATAAATAAAGATTGATAAAGATGTTATTTTGTAATTTTTAAAAAGAAAAATTTGACATTCATTAACCTTTTTGTTGTTGTTGTTGTTTGACATTTTCTTCAATGTTTTTTTTTGCTACAAAAATAAATTGATTGGTTGATCGATTTTAGTTAAAGATTTGATCGATAAAAACATCATTTTCAATTTGATTATAGCGGATAACAACAACAACAACAACAACAACCAAATTCGAATGAATTCGATTCGACTATTTTCATCCACATTGTTCATCATTATGATGAGCAATGTAAACAATTATTGCGTATTGGGTCAAAATGGTAAAGAATATCATTCGAATGATGAAACGATTCCAAAAAATGATTCGAATCAACGACCATCATTATCAGCATCATATTCAGCAAAAAGAAAATCAATAATCGGTTCAAAAGATTTAAGGTTTTGTGATGATACTGTTGAACAAACAATACAATTAAGTCAAGATTTTCGTCATGAAAAATGTACTGGTGATAATTTATGTTTACAAATTCGTAATAATTTAAATTATTTTCTTAAAATGTCAACCGAAGAATGTATGGATGATAATTTAAATTATGGTATGACTTGTTATGGTTTACTTAGATTTACGAAAAGAATTTCCATAGAAATACAAAAACATTCTTGTCAAATTAATCAATTATCATCAACATTATCCCGAAATAATAATGATATTTGTCCGGAATTGAAATTTTTAGCCGAATTAATACATTTTGTTCATTATCATAAATGTAATCGACAAAGACAAAGACGAGGAAGACGACGACGACCACATATAAATATATATTCAACAATGTTAAATCAATCATCCGAAATTGATGATGATAATAATAAACAGAAAAAATTATTGATTCAACAAAAAAATAAGGTTACATGTCTTGCATTATCCAAAGATTTAATCGAATTATTTCGTCATTATATTGATGAAAATTGTGCCGAATATTCATCATCAAAAACAAATGAATGTATCGAAATTCGTAAAAGATTATTAACATTTTTACTTTTTGCAACAACTGAATGTATTGAATGGGAAATCGGTATTAATGATTATTTTTTTGATTGTCCAGAATTGAAACCAAATTTAGAAGAATTTTCCAAAGAAATTCAACGAAATTCTTGTTCACCATCCAATTTATTTTCACCATCAACATCAACAACATATATGAGAAATATTTGTGAAGAATTAACATTTTTTTATACATTATTGGATTATAAATATTTTCATGATTGTATTAAAAAATGGAGAAAAGATCTTTTTATTGATTAAAGATATGGAAAAAACAAATCAAATCAAAGATTCAATGAGAAGAAAATTATGATTAAAAAAACAAAAATCTAACCCTTTGTTTACACTTGATATTTTCAACATTCTGACATTTATCACTTTCGAACCTGTTGGCATTTTGTTTGTTTTTTTTTTTTTTTTTGTTTCCTTGGTAAATCGATGACATTTGATGACCTTTTTTTTGTTTTTTTTGTTTTTTTTGGTACAAATAAATNTGGAAAAAAGAATCAAATCAAAGATTCAAATATAAAAATCTTCTAACCCTTTGTTTTCACTTGATATTTTCAACATTCTGACATTTTTCACTTTCGAACCTGTTGGCATTTTTTTTTTTTTTTTTTTTTTTTTTTTTTGATTCCTTGGTAAATCGATGACATTTGATGACCTTATCTATGTTTGTTTTGATTTTTCTGGTACAAATAAATCTTCGATAAATTCATTTGGTTTGATTATCATTTCAATTTTTGATTACGAATTGTAATTGTCAGCAAAAAAATTATGTCTTCGATTCGACTATTTTCATCCATATTGTTCATCATAACAATAATGATGATGATGATCAACAAATCATTTGGTCAAAATGTAACAACAACAACAACAACAACAGCAAAAGCATTGATAAAACCAAATGAACAAAATTCATCTTGTAATCAAATGAAATGTTTTAAATTATTAAATAATGTTATAATAAAAAGTCATCAATTTTATCGTTATAATTGTAATAATGATAATAATAATAAAAATAATGTATCAAATAATTGTACAAAAATTATTGATCAAATGAATATGTATGTACAATTAACATATCGAAATTGTTTGGATGAATATTTAAATGAAAATAAATGTAAACGTTTAGATAAACGAATGAAAATATTATCGAAAAAATTATATGAAAAAAATAATTGTTCATTATCAAATAATGATAATAATAATGATAATTCAACAATTTGTTTACAATTAAAATTCATTAATAATATGTTGGAATATAAATATTATCATGATTGTATACAACGATTACCAAATACAAAAATTGGTTGTCAAATGTTGAGTGCACGTTTTGATCTTTTTGATGATTTTGATTATGATTTTGATGGTAATCATCATCATCATAAGGATCGAAATCATAATCATAATCATAATGATCCTGATGAGTTCAATCCTGAGGAGTTCGATCCTGATGAGTTCAATCCTGATGAGTTCAATCCTGATGAATTCGATCCTGATGAATTTGATCCTGATAAATTCGATCCTGAGTTTTTGGATGATGATGATGATGACGATAAAAAGGATGATGATTTTAATATTGATTATATAACCGATAAACCAAATAAAAAACATAAAAAACATCATAAAAAACCGCATAAAAAACCACATCATGAAAAATAATGTTTGAAAAGTGAATATAAACGAATCTTTGGAAACGTATCGTTCTTATTGTGATTGATTGACCAAAAGGATTTCACTTTCTTATTTATCATTTTGAAATTTCGAGTTTATCCAAGTTATTTTCTTAGTAAACCTTAACATTGATTGATTGATTGATTAACTTGATTTAAATCTAAAAAAAGAAAAAATAAAAATTATTTTTGGAAAAAAAAATTGTAAAATTTTCTTCAATATTACCCGGATATAGCAATAGGATCATTCGGAAAACGCTGTCGTTGCTGACGATTTTGGTTTTTTTCCAAATTCCAAAATTGATTGATTAACATTTTCAATAATCAGTTTTTTTTTTTGGTTTCACTTTAATCACTTTGACATTCATTAATTTTTACCTGTTTTTACCTGTTTGACATTTTGTTTTTTGTTTTTGTTTGATAAATCGACATTTTTTTGAAAAAGGTTTAGTTTGAGTTTGATTATCATCCATTTTCAATTTTTTAAAAATCATTTTCAATTTGATTATGTGATTGAATCGTTTCGTAGAAAAAAAAAGATTGTAAACAACAACAACGATGTATTCGATTCGACTATTTTCATCCATATCGTTCATCATCATAGTGATGATGATGATGATCAATATAGACATATCGTCCGGTCAAGATGAGAAAATAAATTCTACAACAACAACAATAGCTACTACAACTTCGAATACAACAACAACTTCGAATACAACCACCACGAAAAAACCAGAAAAAGATCATCATTGCGGTTGGGGATTGGATTGGGGAGGCGATTGGGGAGGTCATGGCAAAATTGGTTGGGGAGATGGAAAAATTGATTGGGGAGGTGGTAAAATAGGTGGTTGGGGAGGTGGTGGAAAAATTGGTTTTGAAGGTGGTGGAAAAGGTGATTGGGGAGGTGGTGGAAAAATTGATTTTGAAGGTGATTGGGGAGATGAAAAAAGTAAATCGAAGAAAAAATCTAAAACACCAAAAGATTCAAAGAAAAAATCGAAGAAAAAATCAAAGAAAAAGTCAACAAAATCACCAAAAACAGAAGCAACAAAATCCTCAAAAACAAATTCAACAAAATCACCAAAAACAAATTCAACAAAATCACCAAAAACTAAGAAAACAAAATCGCCAAAAGGAAGTAAAACAACAAAATCGCCAAAAACAAATTCAACAAAATCACCAAAAACTAAGAAAAGAAAATCGAAAAAAAAGTCAACAAAATCACCAAAAGAATCGTTAAAAGGAATAAAATGGCCAAAAACTAAAAAAACACCAAAATCGTCCAAAACTAAAAAATCAACAAAATCACCAGAAACTAAAAAAACAACAAAATCACCAGAAACAAAACCGAAAGAAATATGTAAATCAAAAGATGATTCAATTTCAAAAATCGATCTTGGAAAAGAAAATCAAACAATGATATTTAATGATGCAATTTTCAATAATGATGTTTCATTATTCAAAAAATTATTTGGACGACCATTATTATTTAGTGTGAATGGTCGTGATATAAATGTAGTTATTAATCAAAATTTTAATACTAAAAATGATAGGAAAAATTCTTCAAAATCAAAACATAAATTACCTGATCATCATTCTAATAATAATAATAATAATTCTTCAAATGCAGATCATAATAATAATAATAATCAACAATTTGATGATGAACATTGTAAAGAAATATTAGAAACTGCAATTGAATATGCAAAAGCAATTGATTATTTAAAATGTAATGGTGATTATGATGATGATCTATTTACAGTACAATGTAATGATTTAAATGCACAAATGTCTGTATTTAAAGAACAAATTATGAAATATTGTAGATCAGAAAATGATAAAGTGAAAATAACAAAGTAACAAAAAAATAAAATAAAATCTGAAATCTATAAATCAAAAAAAAAAAAAAAAAAAATTTTTTTTTAAAAAAAAAAAATTCTTCTAATTCAAATTTTTAAAAAAATTCGTTCGAATTCGAATTCTTTTGGAAAGGAGGGAGGAGGGGTGATTCCTGTTGTAGCGAATGCGCAAGCGCAATTTTCGAATGTTTTTTTTTTTGGCAAACATTTTGACATTCGAATCAATTTTTACCTGTTGACATTTTACCTGTTTGTTTGTTTGTTTGTTTGTTCGGTATGATGACATTTTCTTTTATTTTTGTTTTTGTGGTACAAATGAATTCTCTAAAAATGATTTTTAGTTTAGTTTGATTGATCATTTTAATTTGATTATGTGATAACGACATTATAACGCTAATGAAGAAGATTGTCAATAGAAAACATGAATTCGAATCGACTATTTTCATTCATGTTGATCATCATTATGATCAATATAAACATTTCATTTAGTCAATATGTAATAAAGAAAAAAACAACAACAGTAACACCAAAAATTACAACAATAACACCGAAAATTCATAAAACAACTAAATCGATTTATGTTATTAATACGAAAACAACATCAACGCAAACGATAATAACAATAACAAAATATGGTGAAACAAAAACAACAACAACAAAATTACCAAAAACGACGACAACGACAACAGAATTACCGAAAAAGAGGAAAACAACAACAACAACAACAACAGAATTACCGAAAAAGAGGAAAACAACAACAACAAAATCACCGAAAAAGACGAAAAAAACAACAACAACAACAGAATTACCCGAAACGACAAGGATATCGAAAACAACAACAACAACAACAACATCTAAATCAACAATCAAACCAAATGAAAATAAAAATAATACAAAAAACAATGATAATGAATTTATAATAGGACCAGCATTATTTCGTTTAAATGGTCGTGATATTAATATAATTATTAATCAAAATTTTAATACTGATAATGATGATTATAATGATGGTAATATTGGAAAAAAATACAATATTTCAAAATTGCCTTTTAATAATATTACTATTCCAAAACATCGATCAAATAAGTCACTAATAAGTGATGAACAACCACATAATAAACTACGTTCAAGAGGTTTAAGACGACCATTTATAGTAATACCACGTGCAAGAAGACTACCATTTATAAGACGACCAATTATAGGATATTTACCACGTCCAAAAAGATATCTACCACGTTTATTTTTACCACCTTTTGTACGTGAACTAATACTTATAGTATTACCATTTGTACTTCAAAAACTATCAAAGGAACTAAGTCATAGTAATTTTCAACAAAATTCTGATGGCAATGAAGATGAATTGCAAAACAATTTAAAGAATATGGATGAATTCAAATCTATTATGGATGATATTAATAAGGATGATAATGAACCATCATGTCCGAAAGCATTGGAAAAAACAACCAAAATAACCAATGCAATAGAACATTTTAAATGTAATCAAAATAATAATAATGAAAAATATAAATTTCATTCACAATGTCAGGAATTAAATGTACTAATGTCAAAAACTAAACAAAAAATTATGAAACTTTGTTCTTAATAAAAAAATTTAATTAAAAGAATTTTTTAATTTAAAATACGAATGAATATAAAATCTGAAATGGAGAAATATGAAATTTATTTGTAAATTTTTACTAAAAAAAATTTATAAATTTAAAAATTTTATTCAATTTTTCATAATGAAATGGTTAAATATACGTTATAATCGATATAAGAATAAATCAAATGTTGATGATGTTGATGATGGACAGCGATCATCATCAACATCATCATCAACAACATCGACATCAGCAAGATTATCACCAAAACAAAGAAAAAGTAATGATAATTATAATAATCAATTTAAATCACCATTAACAACATCAACATTATCGATGAAAAAATCATCATCATCATCAACAGCAGCAATATCCACAACATCGACAACAGCATCAACAATAACAACAGCATCATCAACAACAATGGTAAAGAATAAAATTTCATTAGTTCATCATCATAAACATCATCATCATCGTAAACAAATTTATAAAAATAATAATAATCAAAATAATGAAAATAATAATAATGATAAACAACAATTACAACCATTATCATTACAATCATATTATACAAATAGTCCATGGATTAATAAACAACAACAACAAAATTTTTTTGATAATAATAATAATAATAATAATAATAAATCTATAAATTTTTATAAAAATTTATCATCCAATACAACATTATTATTAAAACAAAATAATAATCATTATTATAATCAACAATGTATAAATTATAAACGTAATTATAATGATAATATTTTGGATATTTTATCGGATAATAGACGATCATCATCATCATCATCATCATCAACGTTATTAAATCCAATTGATTCAACAACAAATCTGATACATAATTCAATAATGTATTATGTAAATCAGATAAGACCGATTGATCAATCTGATCATCAAAAATCACAACAACAACAACAAAATCGTAGACGTTTTTATGAAAAACCAAAAGCACCACCTGAACCATTGAATGGTACTTGTATAACACCATTTGAAGTATTAATACATGGTTATCTATTACATCGTATTGTTGGTCGTGGTTCATTCAGTACCCTATATGAAGCAAGTCGTTTATTTGTTTCACATGGTGGTGTTGCTTGTAAACATGTACGTATTGGCCGACCAGAAGATATTTGTCTTACAGATTCGGATGGCCGTTGGCGTTTACAAATGCAACAATATTTCCTGGAAGAAGAAATTCGTATATTACGACAAATACGTCATCCAAATATAATACAATTATATGAAATAATTATCGATGATGATAATCGTAATTATTATATAATGATGAAATTTGCTGTAAATAAAACAATCGCTAATTATTTATATCAATTTTATCAAAAACCATTACCTGAAACATATGCTAAACGTTGGACAAGACAACTGATGTTAGCAATACAATATCTGCATGAAGAATGTCGTATTGCACATCGTGATTTAAAATTGGAAAATTTTTTATTAGATGAAAAATATGTTGCATTATTAACGGATTTTGGTTTGGCTATTTCATTATCAATACATTCATCATCGTCGTCGTCGTCAGCATCTTTGAATCGCAATAGCCCGAATCACCACCACCACCATTATATGATTGATAATAATTCTTATTTGAAAAAATTTTTTGATAAAAATTTTGTTGATCAGAATCAAAATCATCGTACAAAACGTATTGAAACATTATTATCAATACAATGCGGTACAACTGAATATATGGCACCGGAAATTTTAAATCAAGAATTACAACAACAACAACAACAACAACAACAAATGACAGCAGCAACAACAACATTATTTAATGATACATTTCCATGGTGTTCATATGATCCATTTCGTGCTGATATCTATTCAATGGGTATTTGTTTATTTGAAATGTTAAATTATTATCGTCCATTTCGTTGGTCATCATATAATTTAAATTATATTAATGGTGGTGCATTTGGTAGTTATAATCAAAATCATAATAATAATAATCTTGTTTGGCAACAACGTAATCGTCAATATCGTTATAATAAACGTATTTATTTAACTGAAGAATGTCGTGATTTAATTGATGAAATGTTAGAACCAAGAGCAGCAATACGACCAACATCACGTCAAGTACTTGATCATCGTTGGTTCAAATATTCAATACGATAAATAATAAATAATAATAAATAATATCAAATAATCGACCTTCAACTTTGACGCAAAGCAATAAATGGTGGTATAACATTTTAAAATTTTTAAAATTTTTAATTTCTTCTGAAAATCATATTAATAAATATCAAATATCAAATATCAAATGTTAAATATCAATATCAGTAGACCTGAAAGATGTTAAAAGAAAAGATCAAACGTTCAATTATCAATTGAAAATGTTAAATGTTGAATTGGAAAAAAAAATTTAAGATATAAAAACCGAAACCGAAAACGTTCAAAATTAAATTAATTTTTTCATTTTTTACCTGATTAAACCTGATCTTTATTTACAAAACCGACAAAACAAAGTAAAAGAAAAATGGCCAAACAAATTCGTTTGTTGTTTTCGATAATGGTGATGGTGATCGTTTTCATGATGATCAGCCAAAATGAAGCAATGAGACAACCAGCACCACCACCACCACCACCTCCACCGCCTCCACCACCACCGCCGCCACCACCACCACCACCACCACCACCACCACCAGCGCCAATGCGACAGGGAGGCGGATGTGATTGTTCACAAGCAATGCCCCAACAACAAAGTAATTACAAGGCACAAGAACAAATGGTTTTCAGTGATTCACAAGATTCAGTATCCGGTGATTAATTTAAATCAAAAAAATGAAATCCCGTTTTAAAAAAATAATAATGACATCAATTAAATCAACTATTTAAAAAAAATCAAAATTACAAAATTTCCAATATTATTTTTAAAAAAAAAAATTTTCATTATAAATTTTGAATTGAAATAAAAATTAATAAAAATAATTATTTAATGATTTACATTTCTATGGTGTTTATTATATGATCCATTATTTCATAATTTATTCAACAATGGGTATTTGTCTGTGTATAGATAGTGTTATAGTATTATAGTAGTGATAACGCAATATCGTCAATATATCGCGTTATAATAAACGTTATTTATTTTAAAATTTAAATAAAGAATGTCATTATTTTAATTGATATGAAGAATGTTAAAACCAATACGACCAAACTACGTCTATAGAGACTTTCCACCAAAAACCACCAAAATCGCATTAAAATAAGAATAATTATTCATCGTATATTAATAAATAAATGAACACAAAATATTTATCAGTTTATCAGATAGACGGGAAGAAGATTTTTGTATTCATGCCAGTCATAGATCAGTTTATCAGTTTGTGTAATTTTATTATATCAAATATTTTTTAAAAAAAAATTACCATGTTTTATTTTTATTTTTTGTTTAATTTTTCCATTTTTTGTTGTTTTTATTTCTAATTCATTGGTTTATTGTAATCATTTTTGCTTTAGTTACAATCCTATTTAATCGTATAAAACAAAAACAAACGTTACGTCAAGTATACTTGATCATCATCGTTGGTTCAAAATATTTTCTCAAGCTGATACAAATATACGACGAATATAATTTCAAATTCGACCTTCAACTTTGACGCGAGCCAAATGAATAACATTTTAAAATTTCACGTTTTTTTCCTGGAAATAAATAAAAATATCAAATATCAAATTTGTTAAATATCAATATCAGTAGACCTGAAAGATGTTAACAAAAAAAAAGATCAAACTGTCATTTATCATCAGGATGATTATGATGAAAATGTTAAATGATTTTTGTTTCGAATGGATATAAAAACCAAAACGCAAAACGTTTGAAATCAAATTAATTTTTTCATTTTTTATTACCTTGCTGAACAGATAACGTTAACCGAAAAAAAAAAAGAAAATGGCCAAACAAATTCGTTTGTTGTTTTCGATAATGGTGATGATGATCGTTTTCATGATGATTACCAGAAATGAAGCAATGAGACAACAACAACCACCTCCGCCACCGCCGCCTCCACCACCTCCGCCACCACCACCACCACCGCCGCCACCACCACCACCGCCACCGCCAGCTCCAATGCAACAACATATGGCACCACCACCACCATCACCATATGCATTAAATTATCAAACATGTGATTGTACACAATTAAGATCAATAGCACAAGAAGTACAACAAATTCAACAAAAATTAGCACCATGTGCGCAACAAATACAACAATGTAGTACACAACAAGTACAACAACAACCAAGACAACAAAGTAATCAATATAGAGAACAAGAACAAATGATTTTCAGTGATTCACAAGATTCATTAGATGATTAAACACATGAAATAAAAAACATGAAACTCCAGAAAGAAGAAAAGAAAAGACATTTAAATCAACTTTTATAATAAAAAAAAAATCAAAATTCAATAAAAAATTTTTAATATTATTTTTTTAAAAATTATAAATTTGAATTGAAATAAAATTAATAAAATATAAATTTTTTTATTTTTGAAAAATTTAATTTGAATCAAAAATCAAAATTTTCCAATTACTAAATAACGTAATGCAAATGTTGTCAATATAAAATGTTCAGATATAATAAAACCAAGTAAATATTCGAAAAAGATTGAAAAAATTTTTTTAGTTTTTTGTTGTTGTTGAATATATTGATCAAGATTTCCAGTACGTTTTAAACGATTTTCAATCAATTTTCGATCAGGTTTTTTTAGATTTTTAGCCAAACCTAACCATGCACAAAAATCAATAAATAATGTTGCTAAATTAAAACAACGATTCCATCCTAATTCAGATGCCGAATAATCCCATGGAAAAACATGATGATAATTATGATAACCTTCACCAAGACTTAAATATGTTACTAAACGATTTTCACGTGGTTCAATTGATTGATCAAACATTTGATAACCATACATATGTGCTAATGAATTAACAGTCCATGTACAATGTAATGAAACAACATAACGTACAATAACAGTACAAACAAAACATTCCCATAATGGTAAATCCGTTATTAAATGAGAAATATAAGTTGGTATTAAACCCCAGAATAATATAACCAATGGTATATAAAATCGTCGTTGAAAACGTACAACAGGATCGGACCATAAATCGGATAAATCAATTGTTTTACCTATTTTAAATAATAATAATAAAAGAATGATTAATTTACCAGTAGATAAATAAAACAAACCTTTTCGAATAACTTCAGGATGTTTACGTACTAATAACCAACCCATATGTGAAAAAAAGAAACCACGTCGTACATTATATGGATCAGCATCAGTATCAGAATATTTATGATGTACACGATGATCACGACACCAATCATAAATATCATTTTGTAATGCCATTGTTTGTAATAACATTAAAAAAATACGTAATGATAATGATGCTTCATATGAACGATGTGCCCAAAGACGATGTGCACCAGCCAAAATACCTAGACCACTTAAACGACCAAATATATCTGCAATAATTAAATGATTCCATTGCAAAAATGGATTCGATAAACTTGTATAAAAACTATAAATTGTAATCAAATGTAATGTTGATAATGCAATTACATTACGCCAGACAATTTTTTGTTTATAATTTGATTTTAATGATATTTTTGATTTGGATGATTCAAATTCATCATCATCACCATCATTATCACCATCAATATGATTATAATCATAACCATTATTGTTATTATCGGCCATTGTTGTTTTTGTTGTTTCGATCATTTTTTTTTTTTTAAGTCAAATATTTTTTTCAAGAAAACGAACAAAATTTGATTTTGATTGATTGATTGATCAAAAATCAAATGATTCGATGATTGATGAGATCGGTCTTAAGTAGACAAAAAATTCGTAACTAATAATGATGATAATTTACGTTGGAATTTATTTTTGGGATTTTACAAATTGAACAGAGAAAATGATGTTTTTCCTTTTTGAGGGGAGGCAACAGTACAACTACCAAGGATGAATGAATGAATGAATGAGAATTTGAATAATTCACACACACGCACAGTTAAACATACATACAGTTACATACAGTTGAAGAAAACACAGGTAAAGGTAAATTGTATTTTCGATATTTTTTTGCAACAAAATTGTGTTGTGGTCACAACGAAATGATGATGACAACAAAATGCCAAAAAAAAAGATTACGAAAATCATCATCATCATCATTTAGGAGACCATCATCATTATCAATGGTCGTGGTTGCATTTTTGAAAAGAAATTTCGTTATTCGTTTTTTAACCATTCTTTTGGCCACAAAAAAAAAAATACTTTTTCCACTTTTCATTGATTTGATTTGATTGGATTTCTTTTTTTTTACGAACAAAAAAATTCTATTGAACAATCATCAGTTGATAGAGAAGATAGAGAAGCGAACAAGTTTCCATTTCCAGTTATATCGTGTGTATGTGTGTGTTCCGGGCGCCATATATAGAGAGAGAGAAAATAAAAATCACATACATCACATTTGTGAAATGAAAAATTTGGTAAAATTTTGTTGTTGTTGTTTTGTTTGTGAATCGAATCAATCTTTTTTCTTTTTTTTGTTCCTAACGAAAACCATAATTTCATTTCATTTTTTTTCCATTATTTTGGAAGGAAAATTTTCTATGAAAAATTTGACAACGAAAAAAAAACAAGTTACGAAATTGGATATTATTTTTTTTTGACAATTATGTGTTATATGATGATGAAAGTTGGTTCATTCATTCAGTTTTTTCACTTACTTTTTTTTCGCAAAAAAAAACTGTAAATGTCATCAGTTTTTCATTGATTTGAGGGGGGAAGGGGAAGAAAAACACGAACAAAAAAAAATGGAAACTTGTTATTCTCACCAACAATTGCAATATTTGATATTTTTTTTGGTTATTATTGGCATTTTATCGATTTATTATTTATTTATTGAACCCGTTAGTTTTTGATTTTTTGATATTTATCATGAAATAAAGAAGAAGATCATCATCAACATTCGATTCGCGAATATGACATTTTTATTCGATTCGAATGTTTTTGTTGTTTTGTTGTTGTTGTTGATGACGGTTAAGGTTGAAATAGTTAGCTGAGGTTAGAATAGAGTCAACAACAAAAAAGCTGAATGTCAAAATTGGATATTCTTTTTTTTTCGTTTGGAAATTTCATTTTTTTTTTTTTTTGAAATGATAATAAAAAATTCAAAATGTTTTGCTGGCATAAAAAACAAATTCCCGATTTACGGTTCAATTATTTATAATGATGATGATGATGATATTTTTTTTGTGTGTGTGTGAATAAATATCATATGGAAATAAAGGTAATGATAATGTTTGATGTGTATGAATTTTTGATTGGTTGTTGTTTGTCATTTCAGAATTATAATCATCATCCACACAATCAATGTGAAACCAGAAAAAAACTGCAAAAACTTTTGTTTGTTTTTTTGGGTAAAATCCGTTTAACAATTTTTGAATCGGAAAAGCAAGAGAAGAAAGAAAAAAAATGAATACGCAAAAATACTATCCATTAATCGCATTGATGTTGATAATATTTTTCGATAAAACAAATGGATTTTTTGTAAGTAAACGAAAATTACATCATAGATATCAACATCATGATGATGTAACAACAACAACAACAACAGCGTCAATATCATCAATATCATTAATACCAACAACAACAACAATAACAGTTCCAGCAAACGAACCAGTAATGAAATTGTCAAAAACTTATGATGATCATAATGAACAACAACAACAACAACAACAACAAGAATCATTATCATCAACAACTGTATCAACAAATGAAATTATTTCAAATTCAAATGATAATAACAACATTGATAATAATAATAATAATAATATTGTGGATTCTTCTTCATCTTCATCATCCATCCATTTACATAAATCATTAAAAGCAAATCCATATACGGATAAGGATGGAATAATATATAATATGTTTCCAGATCCATCACCAATATTAGTACCGAAAGAAAAAATGAAAAAAGAAACAGCGAAAAAAAAATCATCGACAATAAATAAAGGATCTGGATATTACTTTAAAAGAACAACAACAACAACAAAAAAACCTAACATTCATAAAACAAATCGATTAGATAAATTTGATGATATTATTGATAATGTTATTGAAAAATTAACTCAAGCATGTGCTATTGTTAGAAAAATTGCTGATGATTTTAAAATGCATAGTAAATTGGCAAAAGAATTTTTAAATGCAATTTCTGATTCATTTGCATATAAATTTTTCGATAATATTTTCTAAAAAATTTAATCAAACGAAAACCAAATCAAAAATCAAACGAAAACGAAAACAGCAGACTTTTTTTTTATTTTCTCAATCAGAATTTATTTTCTTTCTTTCTTTTTTTCCTCCCGTTTCTTTTTGTTGTGTTTGTTTGTAATTTCCCATCCACCATCCCTCACCCCCCAAAAAAATCAATAATTGTTAAGAATTTTGTTAATTTATCAATGATATTTTTTATAATAATAATAATAATAATAATTTAACAAGTTGGCCAAAAAAAAAATCTTGAAAAACTGAAAAACAAAACTTTTTCCCATTTGAAATTTTTGTTTGTTTGGTTTGTTTGCAAAAAAAAAAGAAAATAACTTGAACAATTACAATCCGGAAGCAGGAATGATAATGATGATGATGAAGAAGAAGGACAAAGGTTTGATTTGATTTTCAATTTTTTTTTGTTGAAAAAATTATCCAATTCTTGGTACAAAAGCAGCTTTTTTACCAATTCTTGGTGCAAATACAGCACGACCAATACGTGGTGTATATGGTATTACCATTGATGTACGTTTATTCCACAGATAATTATTTCGATTCAATAATGTTGATAATAATAATTGTTGTTGTTGTTGTTGTTGTTGTTGTTGTTGATCATTCAAATCATCCAAATAATCATTATTATTAGCCATCATCATTTGATCATCATTATTATCATAATTAATATCGATATTTGATTGTTGTTGTTGTTGATTATGTTGTTGTTGTTGTTGTTGTTGTCGTGGTAAATAATTACCATACATTTTTACATAATCAATCAATTCATTATTATTATTATTATCATTAATTATTCTTGATTGTGGTAATTTTAACATTGATGAATGTGATGAACGTTTTCCAAGACGTGGTATGAATGCTGCTCGTAATTGTATATCCAATGGTTCGATTAAATTTTCTTGATCATTTAGATTACCACCACCGCCACCACCACCACCACCATTATTATTATTACCCATCATTGATCCAATTGTTTCATAATTTTCACATAATTCTGGATTCATTGAACAATCGATTGTTGATGATCTTGTTGATGATGATGATTTATCATCACGTCTACCAATTCTTGGTGCCGGTATTAAACTTTGTCGTTTCAAATCGTTTGATGATCGTCCAATTCTGGCAATGGAAAAAAAAAGAAAAATTTTCAAATTTTTCAACCAAAAAATTGTCAAACATTTTACCTTGGCATAGGTATTGGCTGTCGTTTATCATAACGAACATCATTATTATTGTTATTGTTATTTGTTTGCAATGTTGCTGCATCAACTGATAATTCAAATGTTGCAATAATAATTGTCACGATAATCGTTATGATTAAATGAAAAATAAATTTATTTGATTGACGACGATGATGGTCATATTGATGATAATGATTAAATGATTCCATTTTTTTTCACGAAACAAAACAAGATAATTTTGGATTTTGTTTTCTTTTCAAAAATCACAGTTTTCAAAAAAAAACTTTTTGAAAATTCGAATTTTTTTTCGGTCAATTTGGTTCGAAACTATTTTCACACAAACTTGTTGTTTTGGTATCTATAGTCGAATTGAGTGGAAATGAATCCAAAAAAAACAAGCAAAAATGGTTGATGATATCCGACGAAAGAAAAGAGAAAATCTTCGGTATTTATACCAAAGAATTTTGGTTCCAGAAAGATTTCTTGAATGATGACGCCCATCATCAACAACAATATGGTACCATGATGATTATGGCGTCAACAACATCGACAACAACACCGACGCTGTAGCATCCTGTATTACCAAATACCGAATTTGGCTATGATTCTATACAGAATTTCGGGAGCCATAGAAAAAAAAAAGATTTTCGGGCGTAGCTTTCTTTGTTGTTGAATGAAAAGAAAGAATATTTTCCATTGAAGAATCTCTTCCAATGTCATCATCATTCGGGAGAAAAAAAAGAAGAGATTTTCCAAAACCAAAAAAACATAATTCAAAATTAACGTTGTAACTACATTATTATTATCGTATAATTATTCTTAATTAATTTAAAACTAAAATAGAAATCTTTAATTCTGATAAAAAAATTACATCACGTTCTGGCTTGTTGTTGTTGGCTTAGTTGGCTCATTTTGGCTCGTTTGGCTCATTTGGCTTGTTTTGGCTCATTTCGGCTTGTCCCTTGTTGTTGTTTTGGCCTGTTAGCGTGGCCAAATCACATCAATCTTATTCCGTTTCCGATTTTTTTTGTTTCTTCAATACACAGAATTAACCCAAATGATGATGATAATGTCCAACATGGATTTTTTTTTGGTTTTGGGTTCTGGTTTTGATTTTTTTTTCGATTATTATTATTATTATTATTATTATTTAATGTTGTTTTCGAATATTATGTGTAATTAATAATAAAAGTCAAAATAGCCAGAAAAAAGACAAACAAACAACAAACATATTGTGTTGAAATAGAATCGAATGTCCTGCTGCTGTTGTTGCTATTGGTCACTCGGTCATTCGGTGTTTTTGTTTTTTGTTTTTGTGTTTTATCGGTTACCGGTTTTTTCGGGTAATTGAATTTTCGTTCGTTTGATTCATTTTCGGTATTTTTCCAAAAAATTAATCGATTTCGGTATTTTCTAATTACAATTTTTTTATTTGTTATTTCCGAATTTCCGATTTTTTGTTGACCCGAAACATTCCGAAAATTCAATTTTCAATGAAGAATTTCAGGTAAAAAAAAATGTTATTGTTGCTTACAAATCATCATTATTATTTTTCAATTGAGAAAAATATTTTCATAATTTTTTGTTTCTATAGAAATATCTTTTCCATACATTCTAATGACCAAAAAACAAAACAAACAATAAAAAAAATAATGATTTGTTTTCATTGGAAAAAAGAAATAATAAGAATTTTAGAATAATGAATGAATGAATGATGAACAACACAGAATAACAAACTAGAATTTGAAGAATTTTTTTGTTGTTGTGAAAAAATTGAAATAAAAATGAATGTTTTTGTTGGATCTCGTGATTTTCTCGATAAAAAAAATAATAATTTACCATCGTCCCTCCACTATTTCCACCCAAACATCCCCATGTGCAATATTTTATCATTATTTTTTTGTTTTTTGTAAATGTCAATGTTTAATTTTCTTTAAAATTCTTGTGAGAAATGATCAAGGATTTTAATGAGGAAAATTTTCTGGTTGATTTTGATTTTTTTTTTTTTGTTTAAAATCATGTGAAATTTGATGATGATGATGATGATTATCATTTAAAATGAATCAATTTAGAAAATTGAAAAATTCATTCATTCATTTATGCTCAAAAAAAGTGGGTAAAGAAGGAGAAAAACAACAACTTAATATGCCTATCATTATTATCATCATGATGATTGATATAACCAAACAACAACAACCAGAACGAAATGAATTTTTCACCAAAAATTTTTCCATATTTTTTTCAAATGGAAAAAATTTTCGCTTCATTGACCATATAGGATCTTGACAAGTTTTTTGGATGGTTCGGTTGTTGAATGATGATGATGGTACTTCAATATGGAATCCAGAATTATGAATTTCAGAAAAATTTGTTTTGAATGCCAAATTCAACCAACGATAATTCCGGTTTCTCTTTTTTTTGGAGAAAATATTTCTTTTGATTAGCATCATTGATGATGTTCATTCATTTTTTTCTTGGCTTTTTTCAAGAAAAAGAAGAAAAAAAAAATGATAAATCTTTGTCGCCATTCTTCTTATTTGCAAGAAAAAAAATTCCGGTCATTAATATTTGTTTATTTCGTCGGGATTCGTATTCATTAACCATCATCATCGTCATCATTTCTGTTCTTTAGGAAAAACTTTTATTCAATTGAATTTGAACAAAGAAAACCATTATTATGTCATCACTTGGCATCATCATTTCAGAATCATCTTTGATTCTTATATCCATTAACCAGAAAAAGAAAAAGAAAAAGATTCATCATATCTTGACAACTTTTATGAATGAATATTCTTCCAACTCTCTCTCTCTCTCTCTCTCTCTCTCTCTCTCTCTCTCTCTCTTTGTTTGTTGTAT